GGGTGGGCGACAGAAAGGCCGGCATGAGGGCCGGGCGGGCCGGGCGGGCCGGGCAGGCTGCTCGTGGGAACGGCACCACGGCCCCAGCAGCACCAGCCACGACGCCGTCGTTGTCACAGCCAGTCACATCGGCACCACCACCACCATATTGCAGTCCGTAACGTGACGGCCTCGATGGAGAGCGCGTGACACACCTCACACTTCGCTCATCACGGAAGCGAAGAAGGTGCGATGCGGTGGCGGAGAGGAGCAGTGGCTCCCACGCGCGCGCTCCGACACTTTCCCTGTCTGTCCCACACACACACACACACACTTGCTTCCCGCGCCCCACACATCATCGGATGAGGGTGGTGAGTCTCTATGTTGGCGCCAATTAACGCGGATGCCACAATCAATTGGCGAGAACCGAGCGCGCGCGCGCACACACACACGCTCACACACGACACGGCCTCACATGTGCGCGACGCATCGGGACGCACGCACACACATTGACACGGCAAGCTCACATGTGCGCGTGCGCACGCACGCACAGCCCGAGGCAGAGAGGGCGGCGGCGACACGCAGACGCACCGCTGGGTCAATAATACACACAAGCCGCCCGACGGGCGTTTTGCAAAATTGTGAAAAAGTACACAGGCAATGATTTTTTTTAAAAGGTCCCCTAAAATGGCTTTTTTGTTCGGTTTTACTCAACAGCGTTTTCCCCTCACTTTGGTGGCACGCTCCACCTCGTAGCCCGAACAATAGCTGTATTTTGGTTTCATATTGCATCGATCGAGGTTCAGGAAGGCCGCGAGGGCTCCCGACCCGACCCGGCGGAGCTGTTCCGGCAGGATAATCGTTTGGGATTCAGGACGAGCGACGAGGCCCGCATGCTGTTTTAAGGAAGCGGAGGTACGGCACGGCCTATAGCGGAGCGGACGGGGTGGCGGGGAGAAATGTAAGCAGGCTCTTGTTTTCACGTCGCTTTCAAGCTCTGGGCTTCGCGTGAACAGGCTGAAGCTATCAATCACGTGACAGTTGAGGAGGAGGAGGAGGGCCTGCAGGGGGACCGGCGCACTGCACGCACCTAGCAGCAGCCGTCACTATGGTCCATTACTCAGGACACCCTTCCCCGAAGCTAAGAAGAGCGAAATAACACAAGAGTAAAGTCATTTGGAAAGAAAAGCTAGATCGTTTACCGCAAACTTAAGGCGGCACTGCGATGGTTTAAACTCAAAATGTGCATGGGCCAAAAGCCTCGCCAAAAGCACTTGAGTTCTTCAAATTCAAGTAAAATGTGTGACCCAAAGAATGGGTGCATGGCTCAGTTGAACAAGCCGTCGTTCGGACTGAAGTTGAAGAAGGTGTCACAACATACTTGGGTGCGCAGGGGTGGGTACCATTATTCGAAAATTGATGCGTTAGCGAAAACTTGATGGTGACTTTAGAACGCGCGGCGTTCCGACATGGCACCGCACTATTGCGCGGCTACTTTGTGAGAGCCAAAACGTTTGGATCCATAGCGACGGCGGCAACGAAACAACGTCGGCTAATGGTGATGAGGATGATGGCAGCGTACCCCGTTGCGTCAGGAGCCGAGCCGTACAACGACGCTTTGTCGGAGATTAGGCCCACCAGGTCGGGCCGGGGCAAGGACGACCGGCGGCAGGCAGGCGACCCGGAGAGGACGCGTACCGCAAATTGTGCGGCGGGAAATGGAAGGTGCGCGCTCCAGCAGAGTCCTTTTAAAGGTGGTGCGTTTGCGCGTTTAACGGCAGGAGAAATAAAGCGACAAGACGACTCCTAACCTCAGTCAGAAGTGTCCCCCGACTGTGTCACATATGTGACAAGAAGGTACCCCCGCGTGTGTTCCGGCGAGTTTTCGTCAAAAATTTGATACATTTCAATAAAAATAGGGTCAGAGTAAGTTACACGTGTTTAAAATAATTTTTTAAGTTGCTGCGCAGGTTTTCGGTTTTGACTTGACGTTTTACCGGGCTTGACTTTTGTCCAAATTAATCCGAATCGAGTTTCGCGTCCTTTTTTCACAAAACGAAACTTGCCACTCACTTATGCCCACGTTGGCGAACGAGCGGACGCAAGCAATAACCTTGCCAAGAGCAAAAGGTCGGCGGACAAAAATTTTACTGACTCTGATTTAGATTTTAACAGACCCGTTTCCAAATTACTGACTTCCCCCAACTTTATTGACATGCAACCCTCTGCTCTTTCTCCAACGTAGTTGACGGTCGGTGCGGGCGGGACAGAGGCGGTGCGAAGGCGCTGACCGGACGGACGGTGCTGCCGTTGCGGTGCCGCCACAGACGGCCGGCGGCGGCCGGCCAGTGCGCCTCAAGGCGAGGTGGTGAGGCCGTAAAATGGAAATCAGCGCAGCGCCTTGAAAACTCCACTACTACCCCCCCCCCCCCCCCCCCCCCCCCCCCCCCCCCCCCCCCCCCCCCCCCCCTCCACACCTGCTACCTATGCGTCAACGTCAGCCGCTGCTGGGGGAGCGAGCGTATGACTGGCGGGAGAGAAGGATACCGAACAAGGGAGAGAGAGAAATAAAAGGAGAGTGAGGAGAGAGGAGGGAGGGTGGGAGTAAGAGGACAGAGAGAGGGAGGGAGAGCACCGCGGCCGGTGGTTGTGCATCGCCGGGTACCTCAACGCGTCGAGTGCGCCGGGTGCATTATCCTCGGTTTCTCTCTCTGCTACTCGCGACGCGCCACGAGCAGCGCAGCGCCCCGCGGGACGGCAAGGGCGGAGCGGACAGAATGCGAGCTGGACAACATGACGGCAGCGGGACTAGCCGGGCAGGCGGGCGTCTCGCGCTGCACACGCGAAGAAACGACTTCCTGTGTGTACACAATACACAACACGCAGGTGTCAAGAAATATTAATCGCCACACCAGCATTTGAAAAGAAACTGCGTAAGGGAGTTAAATGACTTTGCCACTACGGGTCAGAAACGCTTAAGCGCCTCCGCCACTTGTAAATGAAAACGTATTTTTAGTTACAACCATATTTGGACTTTTTGCGAGGTCTGTCTAATGTTCCCCGGGTTGTAGGTGGACTGGGATTGACTTGACATTAATTTGAATAAAAGCTCCTTCCATCGAGCGTCACGACGCTGGCGGGGGGCGGACGAAGGGGCTATGGATGTGATGTGACACGGTTGGCAAGGGGGTGCGGTCGACAGCGTGGCATTATCGACTGACCTGCCCTACTGAGCCGCACCGCCAGCCCGACGCACTTAGCGAAGGCCACCGGGGCGGTGACGCTGCCACCCTCCAGGGCGACTCGGCGCAGCGCGTAACCTTTTCTATACTACGGAAAGCGCGCGCGCATCACTTTTATGCCGCGCACACTGTGTGCCCCAAAACGACAGCAATGGGGATATAGTGGGGAAAAACCAAAAAAAACGCAAAGCCCGGCGGTTGTGGCGGTGGTTGTGGCAGCGGTTGTGGTGGTGGTTGTAGCGGTGGTGGTGTGCGGTGCGGCACGGTCGGTAGCGCTACTGGGTGAAGGTCAGCCGGCACCACCAAGGCCCTTATCCTTATCGCGCTCCAGCGCAACATTCGGGGCCGCCCCCGCAGGGGCCGCCGCGCCATCGACCGGCTCGTCGGCCACCGGGTCACCCGGCCGCGGAGCGGCAGCGTCGGAGTCGCGTCAGTCACGCGACTCTCCGGCTGGACGACGTCTGACGTCTTGTGCTGAGGAGTCAGTCCTCCATAACCCCTCCCTCCTGCCGCAAACCTTCTTATTTTTCCTCAGCCAGCCTGCGATAGGAGGTTCCAGGAAGCGAACCTAGGAGGCCGGCAAACACGCAAGCCCCAAAATGATTGCCGAAGTTTTATTTTTA